AATTTACTGAGAAATACTGTTGTTCTTGGGGCATGCTTCAGTAGTTGTATAACAAACTTGTTTGGTTGACTTGGTCTAGATTTTGCTGTTTCTTTCTCTTAGCTAGAAGCTAATAAGATTGGAAATGTCCAAATAGAGCAAAATATATGGCTGCTGTTGTGTAGTGTTAGTAATTTCCAAAACTACTTCAGTGTATTTGTCAGGCATTGTTGAGGAGTATTTATAAAAGATAAAGTTCTTAAAATATTTTCATTTTCAAATTCAATGTGGAAAACATTTCTAGTGAAATTGCAGTGCAGTTCTGTCTTCTGAAGTCATCATTTGAATGTCCTAGAATTTGAGGCTTGGATACTTCCAAGTAGGAAAAAATTGGTATGAAATTATTTGGATTTGATAGCGTGTCTAATAAGACTTATGAATCTGAGAAAAATAGTAGAATGTTTAAGGACTTGCAGACAAATTTACTTGCTTCCTGTTTCCCCTGATCTTGAGTTTTGGAAACATTGTATTAAGGACAAATACAGTAAACATTTCTCTTTACTTTGAGTTTGACATTTGATCTTACATTGATTATATTGATCTACTACAGACAAATACAGAGCATCACTTTATTCTGTTAGACACAAGTATTTATATTGCCTTGGCAGGGGGGGCTGGAGTCCTGGCTTGCAGTTCTGCCACAGGAAGATTAATTCTACCTAAAGATTAATGTGAAACAATTCTACTTCGTCATTATCTGATGTATCTAGCGACATTATTTGGTGAATTAACTGAGAAGTAATCATTACTTAGATATCTCTGCTATGATTAAACATAAAGAAAAAAAAATCCATGCACTTATTACTTCATCCAGTTAAATTCCTGGACTTGCATTAGCTGCATCTTTAGTCTGAGAACATGGGATTTTAATCTCTAGCATTATGGGAAGCTTTAATCACATGTTTATTTACTATTTGTGATCTAGGAAATGTCATTGCTTCATATAGCTAAGCAGTACGGAATGTAATCTAAGGATTAGGAAAAGGCAAATCTTCCTATCCATTTGACCTTGAAAATCTGATTGGATTTCCTGTGTGATCTGGCATGATTTTTCCCTAATTATCTAAAGCTTGATGTATGTGGATGAGATACTGAACGATCTGTGCAGATCTGGATAAAATTCTAATGCTTAACTTTATTTCATGTTCATCTTAGATTTCAGTGCAAAGAAATTACAAGAAAACCCAGAAAAATCTAAGACAAAATATGGTCTCAGTGTAAGATAAATTTTTAGTAATTCAGTGGCCTTGTCTTATAGCAGTGAATATGCATAAAGTCTTAAATCAGTTTGATTAACTTCAGACCATAATCGGAAACATTTCCTTTTATTTTGTAGTGTATGGCTGTTAATTAGGAGAAACACAATTCATTTGACTTTAAAACAAATGGGGAAAATTGTGATCCATTTTTCTGAGAGCTGATTGGAAGCCTCTTACGGGTTTCAGTAGCTTCATCAAGCAAATGGAAAGTTGATTAAACAGTGAAAGCTAAAGAATGAAGAAATGGTTCTTAAAATGGTCAATGAAAAGTATTTCGCTATTTGGGGTGGGAAAACAGATCCTGAAAGTAATGAATTGATTTCTTTTAGTATTTACTTTGGCTGTTTCAAGTTGAACAAATACTAGAGCAAGAAGGGAATGTTCTTTCTATAACCTTTTAAATTTTTTTGTATTAACTAAATCATGCTATAGAATTGAGCATTAATCAAGTTGTTGCAGTCAAGTCCTTCAAATACTGAATTCAAGTAACTTTATTTCCTAAATATTTTAGCCTAAATATAGATGTGTTAAGCTTTTAAGGAACTTATGCCGCTGGCTCATGTGAAGAATGTTAGAACTCTGTTCTTAACTCTTCAAATACATTTTCACCTTGATAAGTCTGAGATGTCTGAATCTTCCTGAAAAAAAAAAAAAAAACAACAAACAACAAACCCTTGCTTTTAGGTGGAATACTTTCTGACAATTTCTAAGAAGGTCCTTAGACCACTGTTCATTTGTAAACTTGTGGTTGTAATTTAAAATTCCCTACTACTTCTGGAAATACATTTTTATGAAATTTAGTTTTCAGGTGGGCAGGGGGATGTATGCCATACTATGCAGTTGTGTATAATAGTATGTGACTCAACAGGAGAAAACAAATTTTTAGCTTTACCAGTTCATAAAAACATGGGCTTTGTTAAAGGTACTTTTATTTCATAAGTAGATTACTGCTACAGTGAAGGACCTTTTCCTGAAGTAATTATAGCTACTGAAAATTTCTAAAGATCTTGTATCTATCTAGTATTAATCTGACTACCAGGAATCTTCAGTGCACTGATCTGTTTCAAAATAGTACAACACAGTGCATAAATTTTTAATCTTGAATGGAGTTGAACAGTCCTTTTCTGATTTTTCTGAATAAATTCTAGTCCTAATGTTTAAAGTCAAAACTAAATGAAGTCATATTAAATTTTGTTGTAACTGCATTTGCTTCAGTCATAGCAAAATGGATGTGTTCTTATTACAATTTTAATATTTGTGTTTCTTAGTGTAAAATGTTGCTAAAGAACAGCATGCTTCTGATCAGTTGTGAGCTTTGAGTATTTATGCTGTTAATAGTGTATACCAATAGCAGCATTAAAAATTAGTGTCATGTTTGTTTTCCACTCAAAACCTACAAACCCCTAAGTATCTAATTGTGTTTTCCAAGAGAAATCAAAGAGCTTTATCATAACTGCTGTTGTTATATCAGGAAGTAGGAGTGTAAGTTTATTTATTTGAGTGCTGTGATACTACTACACTCTTACATCTGAATGTGATACTCAAAGTTTGACTTCTAAAAAATACCAGTCGCCTGTTTTCTGAGTGGGAACACCGTGCTCTATAAAACTTCTGTCTTAATTTCACCTGGAAATGAATTTCGATGTAACTTTACATCTATTTAATTGCCCATAATTCTGTAGTTCATAAAGCGGCATCTACAAAGAACATGTGGATTCCATTTTTACCATGATTCAGCTGTCAAAATATGTTCCTCAGTAGTTGTAGGATTGTAGGCTGAGGGATTTGGAGTTTTTTCTGAATGTGCTGCAACATAAAGGACGCTTCAGAGGAAGGTTGCTTTACAGAGTAGGGTTTCTCCAGAATGTTTACATTACTAGAATCCGTATGAATCAAAAACTCCTAGGGACTTGCCAAGAAGACTGGAAAGTATAGCTGGGGAAGGCTTTTCTTTCGAGAAGCTTTCAGGTAGTCGGAGGCTGGTTTGGCTTTCTTATTTCTTCAATCACTAAACACTAACTTGAATAAGTGCAATTGTATTTATTTTCCATTCTGTGCTAGTGAGGTAAAAACTTGAATAAAAGACTGGAGTTACAGTTATTGGGAAAGATGTTAGCATCTTCTTGGGCCTTTTTATTCTAGAGGGTCTTTCTAGTGTAAAGACTGAGGGGGGATCTTATCAATACTTACACTTAAAGGGAAGGTGCTAGGTAGATGGGAGTAGTCTTTTCAGTGGTGCCCAGTGATAGGACAAGAGGTAATGGGCAGAAACTTGAACATAGGAAGTTCCATCTGAACATGAGGAGGAATTTCTTTCCTGTGAGGGTGGCAGAGCACTGGCACAGGCTGCCCAGAGAGGTGGGGGAGTCTCCCACTCTGGAGACATTCCAAACCCACCTGGACACCATCCTGTGCAACCTGTTGTAGGTGACCCTGCTCTGGCGGCGGGGTTGGACTAGATGATCTCCAGAAGTTCCTTCCACCCAACCATTCTGTGATCTTCATTTTTTTTAAGTGGGAATGGACTGGTATTCATCAAACAAAGCTGCTAATAGGTAAATCAGTAGTAAGAAATGTGTTGGTTTACTACTCCTGTTTTTCACTGGAAGTCATTTCAAACTAATTTGTCTTTCAAAGTGTACCTAAAGGATGCTTTCTTCTATTTTTTTGATCAATTTCTTTGCACTCAAAGGTTGTTATTGTCTCCAGTTGACATAACATCACATTCCCACTAAAGAAACATCAAGGTCTAGATAAATGTTGTTAACTTCCACTGTTTAAGTAGAAGGGTGTGTGTGTTTTGTGAAAAACTAACAAGATATTTGAAGATTTAGGAGGACGAATGCTAGATGTCCATAGAATAACTTTGGTTGCACTGCTGAAGTTCCTTGGATTTTGGTATGTCCTGTGCTGTTTAATGCTGCAGCTCAATGTGCTGGACTCCAGTCCAGCCAAGGCTTCAGGCAGTGCTTCATTTCTGGTCTCGTTGTGTGCTCCTCATGTGTCCCCACCAACGCAATGAAATCCGCAATTTTTCACTTAGCACACTGGAGAGTCAATATTTGGAGAGAATTAAATACAGAATCAGTTTTTCATGTAGCTCTGGAATGAGTAAATTCATGCAGCCTGGGGTTGAACTTCTAAATCTCGTTCCTAATTCTGTTGGTATAACACTAATCTCAGATTTTTGGGTATGAGCTATGTGCCTCGATTACGTTCCTGAAATTTCGAAAGATTGATTTGATATTTGTTTATAAGTTCACTGTAGACAACACCGTTAAAACTGTGTACTTTGTTTATAATATAGAGGAATAAAATAGTCAAATATTAAACTATGATGTAGGTTTTTTGAATTTAAAAATGAATAAAGGTATCTAAGAATAGTATTTACTGCTGGAGCCATATAAAACATAAACGTATCCGAGGTATTAAGCTAAAAGTTAGCATTTAAAATGCTTGCAATGCTATTCAAGGTGCTGATGATACAAACATGAGTATTAAAAAAGCCTGAAAAAGCAAAACATGGTTTACCCCATTGACCTATGAAACTAATTATAGGTATTAATTACACATTATGCCATGTATTATGCCATACAGTATTAATTTTAAAGTTTTTAATTTATACTGCCTTTGTAGATTCTCAGCTTTTAGATTGTTGTGTTAAACTGAGAAAATAACAAACTTTTTTCCTTTAACAGAAATTGAAAAATTCCAAAAAGGTGAAGGAAAGGAAGAAGAAAAGTATATTGATGTAGTCATCAATAAAAATATGAAGTTGGGACAAAAAGTTTTGATTCCAGTAAAACAATTCCCTAAGGTAAGCCCAGTTTTCAAATGTGATAAATAAGTGTTTATAAAAGATATTCCACTAATATCTTAACTATTTTTTTAACTGTTACATTTAAAGCAATATTAACTATCTCTGCTATTGCTGTTCTGCATTCCGTTGTATAGAAGTTCAGAGGTAGGAATAGTTCTCTTTGGAATAAATGCACAGGAAAGTGGTGCCAGTCACATAAAAAAATAGTATGTTGGGAATAAATGATAAATTACTCATTTTAAGGATAGCAGGGTCTTACTTTTCAGAATAGCAAAGGGCATGAAATATTTTCAAGTTGTCTTTTTTGCCAGGCTTTGAAAGTTTCTTATTGGAGGTAGAAGTGTAGCTTAAATTTCGCCATTAAAACAACTCACAGTGTAAACTTTTCCTTACCCTCTTAAGTTGCAGCCATTGTTAATTTCAAATTAGATAAATCTGCACTATTAAATTATACAGTCTATTTTGGAGGGGTTTTGTCAATATCTTTGACCGCCATGAGTTCTTAACACTTTACTGCAAAGTATTATCCTGCACTAAAATACTGCTCCCTGTAAGCATCTATTCAGCCTTCAATAGACTGTGGAACTTTTGGTTACTTTTAGATTTTAAGGTTAATGTTATAAAAATCAGATTAGCATTTTTTCACTTGTTTGAAATGACTTTTTCTTCCCACTGAAACTTCAAGACAGCTTCCGTTTCTGCTCATGGAGGAAAGGAAGTCCTTCATTCCTTCCTCCATTTCTTTAGGAAGACTTTTTTCTAAATATTTTTTCCACACTATCAGCATCTTCCTCAGAGGCTGTGAGTAACTTGCAGGGATTGCTTTACTGTTCTTCAAAGTTTTCTGAAATACTGCTTCAGTGAATTCAAGATTGCATACCATTTATATGTGGGCACCTCTTTGGAACTCTGACAAACACACAGAAATATAAAGATGGGAAGATAAAAGATAAGGGAAGCTTACGTGGTCAGTGCTTGTAATAGGGATGTCTTTCCTAACAGATGTTGATGTAGATAGTTGAGTTCAAGAGGAAGAAAGTCAAAATAGATGTTAAAAGGGGAAACAGTGCCTTGGAAAGATGATTCTGCTTCTTTACGTAGTGTCAACTTTCTTTAAAGGACCAAACACTGAAATTCTTACTTAGGATAGCTAGAAGGAAAGCCATTGCCATCTTTTGAATGAGCAGGTGTGGTCTGCTGAAGGCCTGATAGTTCTGGTCTATGGAGACAGTCTTTGAGCTGGGATAAAGCCTGGTACATGCTATGGAAAGAAATGTAAATTTATATACAGATAAATCTCTGGTATCATGCTGTATGTCTGTGTTTAGACCCCCAGGATCCAGGGGGCACAGAGTACAACTGCTGTGCAGAATAGACATGTCATGTGAGTTCCTATGGCTCCACAAGAATTTTCTCCACGGAAAGTAGAATACTGGTATCTCTGCTCACACAAATCTCCCTTCTGCCAGGGTGAATAAAATCCTAAGTATTTTCTATTAAACAATATTTTTACCCCAAAATGGGGGGGGGGGGGCGTTTTTCTTGGAAATTTCCATGTTATTACATATAGATGGATATTTATTTTTAAGCTTACTCATTAAAGATGCCGTGTAGTCAAAAGGCATTATAATTTGTCACTGTATAGGAGTGTCCTGGAATGTGAGTGTGAATTCAGATTTATGACGGGAACTCTTCAACGGCTCTGAAAAACACCCACCCTAAACCACAGTCAGTCACTGCAGTTTAGTATCACTTGTTTACTAGGACCAGGCTTGTGGGTTTATTTGAGATCTATTTAATCTAAATACATTGTAGAAGTGACATAGCTTCAGCATGGCAAACAGAGCCTTAATCTGGCACACTGTGGTCTGCAGTGAATGATGTGAGTTTTGAGTGCCTGTACGCAGGGGAACAAAGTCTTTTTGCATCCTAATGTTTGCTCTAAAAACTAATCCTCTTCCTGTTAGGTGTGTTCAGAGGAAGGCTCAGAAATTAGAGGTGCTTTGTCAAGTCTTTTGGGGAGAAATTAAATCATTCCAGTCGTCGTGGTTTCACTGAGCTGTATTTAGAGTGCATGCATTGTATATTCAGATTCTGCAGAATTTAAACAGAAGGTTTTATGTGGTACTTATAAAACCTGAAGTGATGCTTCACAAATGCTTTATGCTTCTATACTGTTCTTTTTTTTTGTGTGTATGCAGTTCTCTAGACTGTTTTGCCTACACGAGGTATTAGTATTGGTGCAAATGTGTCATTCGTAGAAGGTGCCAAGTGAGGGTTCCTCAAACATTTAGAAGATTTGGTTCTGATTTATGAGCAAGTTTCTCCTTCCTCATGATCAGTATTGGTGACAAATGCTTCAAAAGAACAAAACTTAAGACTTAAATATGCAGGAAATCCTTGCAAAAATCTCATGTGCATGTCAATATCGAATTTAGAGTAATTCTTCTGGCAAGCTGGCATCTGTTTCTGTATGCCTGCAGTCCACACTAATGCTGTTAGCTATTGTGCAAGATCCTGAAAAAACAAAAAGATACTTCCAGTCTTCCAGGAGGTGTAGTCTTTTTTGTATTAGTGAACTGAGAATGTGCTGTTTGAAGCTGACTGAATCACTACGATAATTGATAAATCTGCCAAACTAGCACTGGGGTACCAGTTTGGGTTGAATATGGCAAAATTGGGTATCAAGAAAGTGGTGAGGAAAAATGAAGTTTGTTTCAACTTTATGGATAGAATCGTGCTTCCCCAAATAAATGATCCTGCTTTTAACAGGATCAAAAAAACAAGTTAAGGTTATTAAATCCTTAAAATCTTTTAATACTTGAAAATAAAACCAACTACAAATACAAGTGAATTTGCAAGCAGAAACTATTCCTTTTTTTATATTTGCCAGTCATGACTCCAGCAAGCAAAGACGACTGCTGCTTAGGTATACAGATAGGATTAATGAAATATCAATAATTTTTTTGTGATAAATGAGGTCTGTGGGCCAAAATAGTCCACCGATGCACTACCCCCATTCGGACCGCTTACTAAACCTGACACAGGGTCAACTAAGTTTTCTTTAAGTATTGCATTGCCCTTTCCCTCTTTAAAACTTCTCTCTAACTCTGACTGCTTGAATAAATCATAACAGCCTCAACACAGGTCAGGCAGTCCCAGCTCTGATCTGATCAGCCGGGCATTGTAATGCCTGCTCGCATTACCTGTCCTGTCAGATATATTCTCACGAGCTCCGAGCTGGGTCCTGTGCAAATTCAGCCTCATTACCTCTGACAGCCCTGGAAGGTGACAGGTTAACTGCAGCAGAAAGCTATTCAACTGAAGTTCAAAGCAGCTGGGTTTCTATTGGAGAAGAATCTGGTAGACCTCAGCTTCAAAAGTAGGCATTTCACTTTTTTTGGGTGTCTTTGTTTGGTTTTTTTTTTCAGGGACAGCAAAAACAACCCAAAAACAACCTTATGGGTTTCTCATCTTCTACTTGGTGTGCGAATAGCTGAGTCTCTGTAGTGATGTGTTTAACTTGCCTCCTACCTCACCGCTCTTGGTTGCTTCAACTTGCCTCCTACCTCACCACTCTTGGTTGCTTCAACTTGCCTCCTACCTCACCGCTCTTGGTTGCTTCTGCAGTGCTATGTATTTCTATCCTTTAGTTGGGACCTCTTGTCTTGCTCAGGCCTTGGCAATGTTAACGGGCCTAATATCTCATACTACAGCTAGTTGGCCTAAATGTTTCTTCATGTCTGGACCTTGATAGAAGGTGATAGAGTAACCAAGACAGCCTGAATTTTGTCTGATTTGAACTAATCTGTCAAGATAGTCCCAGTCAGTTTCTGCTTGAGGCTGGTTGTGCATTTAAATTAATTTTAGACTCCTGTACACATTAAAAAAAAACCTGAATTAATGTCTTGATATGGTGACAGGGAGTCTTACTTGACAAGACAAAACCTTGTGGAGACTCTTATAGATTGCAGGTCCAGTCAAGTCTCTTCAAAATCCGATTGTGTACGATCTTGTGAATTTTTCAGGTTGGTCCAGCTCTACACATTCTTTGGAGAATTGTGAATTGCTGTGATATGGAAATTAACCTGAGGTATTTAGGTGAGGTTTGAATAAGCTTTGGTAATGCTCTTGATCCTGTTGTGACTGGGGTGCGCTACAAGCAAGGATTAAAGAGGTTGGGGCTTTTATGCAACCTTATAGGAAAAGCACCAACTTTTTGAGGTAGGATTCAGTTCTAAATCAAGTTACTTATATGCTAGGAGTCCGTGGGGATGATGGATGTCTAAACTGCAGTTAGTGGAATGAGATCTTGTCAGCTTAGGCAATGGAGTTCAGGGTGATTTAATACACCTTGCTATTTGATCAGCTGAATACCTCAACTGACTTTAGGTCAGGTGTGAAAATGTGACCTGTAAACCTGTACTTCTGCTGCATTTCTTGCTTGAAAATCTTCAAACTTGCACAGACTTTAAAAGATAAAGGTAGAAAAAGTGAGCTGGCCATGGAAGGTAGTGGTGTAGTTGCCTTAGTGAAGGGACTCGCTGGATCTATCCTAACAGTGCTATGAAATGCCAGCACATGTGAAAGGTTTCATAGCTTAGCTATGTACCTATGAGGCAGAGAGTGTTATCCCCCTCCCATGCATTTAATTAATGTCTTGTGAAGTAGTTTAGTCTTGAAATCTGATTTTTGCTTTGACAGTTTAGTGAACTCAAGGGTTCTGAATTCAGAGGAAAAAATAGCTTTCATGGATGGCAAATGAAACGATGGTTTTCAATGAGAGGGATCAAAACTATGGGAACAATATTTCTGTTTTATGACACTACCATTTTAAAAATTGCTCATAGAGCTACACTTAAATACTGGGTAAATCTCAGAAGTTGGTAAGAAATGGCCTGTGTTGTGTTCCCTGAGGTGATACTTTAAATATATATTTTCAGATGTTACTGACCTATCCACTGGTATCCATTTGAGTCTTTTAGCTCAACACTTAA